GCCTTCTTCCCTTCTAGACTTTAAACGCAAGAAGGGCAGTGACTTATGTTTGATCCAAAGTTTGGTCCATGGCAGATAAATATCGAATATATGTGAAATTCATTCTTTCATTCAATACATATTTATTATGAGTGAGGTGGGCTAGATTCTGGAGATACAGGGCTGAACAAGGCAAACTAGTTTTTTTCTTCTCTTGAAACTTCCATTGTAGGAGCAGTCAGAAAATAATCACACACACACACACACACACACACACACAACCATAAAAAGTAACCTAATGGACATGATCCATTTGGTCTGCAAACAGGTATTACATTTTTCCATAATGATACCCGTACAGGCATTTTCTTTCTTTTTTTTTTAATCCTCATCTGAGCATATATTTAATGATTTTAGAGAGGGGAAGGGAGAGAGAAACATGGATGGGAGACAGAAACACTGACTGGTTGCCTCTCATAAGCACCCTGACTGGAACCAAACCCACAACTTAGGTACGTGCTGAGAATCGAACCTGCAACCTTTCGGTGCACGAGACAAAGCTCCAAACAATGAAGCCTCACTAGAAAGGGCGAATTTTCATTTTTAATGATTTCTTCTGGTTAAAATAACTTGTAGTTTTTTAAAGAATGAATTTATTTTCCACAATTTAACAGCTGCAAAATAGAGTGGAAAATAAAACATACAACCTTACTATCCAAACACAATTCGTTTTAGCATTGAAGTATGTCTTTCCTATGTTTTCCATAAACCTTTCTTCAATATGACAGTGAGCAAAGAACGTGCAACATTCTCTGCTTTTTTGTAAGACACTTAATTTTCTCTCATTCAAAAGAGAGATCATTAATCTTCTTTCATTCATAAGAGAGACCAAGAAACATTGCAAAATGGTTTCCTCCCGAAAAGGAAAAGGATCTCTCTGGCATTGAACCCTTCCTTCAAGACCAACAGTTTCACCAAAGTGGAGCCAGCCTCCAGCACCTACCCCTGCAATCAATTTTGTCTTGACGTTTAAACAGGACCATTTTCAAATACATGGCATAGTTGCCTTACACTTGCCAATCATTCTTTTCCCACAATCTTTTCTCTTTCGTATTCTTGACAAGATATTGCACCTTCGAGGAGATATTCCTTCTGTCTTTTCTTCATGCTTTTCTTACTTGTTAAATATTAGAGAACTTCTTCCAGCTTCTTTGAAACAAAAATGATAGGAAAATGCTTATGAGCTAAATTTAGGGATGGAATCAATAAGTAGGCAGCAGGAGCTGAAGATCTGGGACTGAAGACACTGCCTGCCTTTCTGAGTACATGATGGGTAGCAAAGCACATGTTCCCCGAAAGTTTATCAAGGTGGCAACACTAGTAATTGAATGTTTTCCTGTAACAGTAAGCAGAGGTTTATAGACACTAGATAATTACAAATGACAAAATATTTCTCCTACAAACAGACAACAGATATTTTGGAAATTTTAGTTTAGATATCTTGGGACTTGAGAATAAAATAATAAGTGGATTGCAGAAGTGATTTTTTTAAAACTGAAAGTATACTGGCTCTGTAGGAATTGAAAACAAGACAGAATTCTAGATTGATTCCTTCTACTTTTCTAGCAAAATAGCACACAACATTAACTCTCTTTACATAAAGACAAATGAAAACACGCCTGCAATGCATCATAACCAGAATGTATTTAATAAGATGATATTGAACAGTGAAATTTTCAGAACCAGTTACAGAAATGGTATCTTGCCTCAGAGTAGCGTTTCTATGCTAATGATTTGGAACAGGTTTTCCCACTGGGGAGGGGAGGTGGAGGGAGAATATGCAGGTTAAAGGAGGGGGAATCAGGGCTCTGCTTCAATTTTCTATAAGAAAAACAGATTAGTATACCTTTAGCATAAGATTCCTTGTGCTAAAAAATTATGCAAAGCATTGTGACTTTACTTCTCCCTATAATAAAGGCCACTAACCCCTCCCAGTAAAGTTCAATGAGCACAAAGCACCATGCAAGTTTCAAGGGATAATCTTTTCTCAGACTCTAAACTTCTAGAAGCAACAATGCAAATCATCACTTATGTTGTTATTAATCCTCACCAGAGGATATTTTTCCATTGATTTTTAGATAGAGTGGGAGGGAGGGAGGGAGGGAGGGAGGGAGGGAGGGAAACATCCATGTGAGAGAGACACATTGATTGGTTGCTTCCAGCATGACCCCCACCAGGACTGGAGATCAAACTTACAACTGAGGTAGATGATCTTGATGGGGAATTGAACCCTCGACCCTTCGCTCAGAGGGCCAACACTCTAACCACTGAGCCAAACTGGTCAGGGCCAAATCATCACTTTTCAATGTTTCCAAGGTAATTAATTCTTAAGAAGTTATAAAGCTTTTGATAGCACACAGCCACCATGGACGAGCTAAAAATTATCAGTCATTTGGAAACCCAGCCCAAGAATTCAATCTTTGATCTTCAAAATGTGGTTCACTATTACAGGGAAAGGGAGTGGGGAGTAAAGGGTAAAGGGTCACATGTCTGGCAAAGGAAGGAGATGTGACTTTGGGTGGTAAACACAGTGCAAAATACAGATGATGTGTTATAGAACTAAACGCTTGAAACCTATATAATTTTATTAACCAATGTCATCACCCCAGTAAATTTAACAGAACACATTTTTTAAGTGGTTCACCCAATTATTTGCTTTCTCTGTACTATTTTATCTGAAAGAGTATGGGCCCAAGATTTCAGATTTGTACATTTTATAAAATGAAGTCATGTTATAGATAGTTTGTTTGTTCAGTTGCTAGTGTCCAATCTATCCTGCCTCCAAAAGCCTTTAAAATATTGGCAAAAAACAAAACTTAGAGAAGAAAAAAATCCTCTGACTGACTCATTCCTCACAGAGAAACATTTATTATTTCCAGGGTCAGTATGCTGAATTTCCACTTCCATTTTGCAATTTCCACTCGTGAATTCAGTAAGGGGCTTAGGGAATAGAAGAGGAAGAGGTCAAAACTCTTTGAAAGACACATTGCTTTTAAGGGCACTGTAATGAGATCTGCAGAAAAGTTAGTGATCCGTGCCCTTTAGTTTTATTTCCAATATATACTACAGTCATGTTATTTCCCTAGGAAAGTTCAGCGTATTCATCTAGAGACTTGCAGCAACAGGACAAATAGCAAACTGGAATTCTGGAGTGTTTATTAGTAAGGAGGCGAAAGGTCTTTGAGGAAACCCAGGCACCAGGCAAAGAAAGAAGAAAAGTTCAATTGAGAACCATTCCCCAGCTTCTCTAGATCACACTGAGTGATCAAAGAATACAGAGATTGAGGAAAGAAACAAGAACAAACAAACGTGTATCATATACACGCATGCATGTAATAGTAGCTCCTGGCGCTACCCTACTAAGCTCTAACCACACACCCTCATCTAATGCCAGCAACCCCACAAAACAGGAAATAATTTCCTCGGATTACAGAGCTGGCATTCAAAGTCAGTGCACTCAACCCCAAAATCCACTCCACGGGCTGTGAGATACCCTGTGGGGAGGCAGAAGGGCGCTCTCTTCAACAACCGGACTCTTAAATGAAGCTTACAAGGGAATTCACGTTTGAAAGTATAATTAAAATTAATGTTATTTAGATACTTAAGAGAATATAAAAATGAAAATAGAATACATTACTTTTTGCCCCCCCAAAATTAAAGTCTAGGTAATTCTATACTGAGTAAGCTATTATTATTATTTCTCCTTAAATTTATTTTCTTTAAAAAAATCATTTAAAGCCCTAACCCAAAGCAGACTGTCCTGAACAACATGTCAACAAGACTGACGCCTTCCCAGGAGACTCACACTGCAGAGCTGAGAAGACGCTCTACTCTGCCCTCTGCCTTCGGATGAAACTGTGGTCATTCCCTGCCCAACTCCTGCCCTGTCCACACCTGGTGCACGTGGAGAGCTGGGGGGGGGGGGGGGGGTGGAGCAGAGGAGGAGGAGAGACCTGTGTAGAGTGAACCTTGGATTTTCTAGGAAAGAATCCATTTCAAACATCTTATCCCACCATCAGGTGACATTAGTGTATTGTGTCCTAAATTCTGGTTTGGCAGAAATGGGCTTACAGTGTGTAATAGTCAAGACAGAGTATGGATCGAAGTAAACTTCAGTTTTCCCCTATGAAACAAGCATTATGAAATCAAAATCCTATTAGTTGTTTTAAATAGATACAGTAATTCCTGAGGCTGATTTGCCTATTGACAAATACCACCACATATTAAAGGAGAAAACATGGAACAAGGACCGTGGACTTGCATTCAACTCCAAGATCAACCACCTGTTCTGTGACCTCGACTTGATTCCTTAATCTCTGAGCCCCATTTCCCTAGGTGTAATTGTGGCTAGTAAGTAGCTCGTAACATTGCAGTGAAACTTAGTAAGACACTATACACAAATTGCCTTGAATCTGCTTAGCATTTGGTAAATATCCAGTAATTGCTTCACTCCTTCATTGCGTACAAAATGCCTTGAAACTTTGCAACTACGTCAAAAACCAGATGAATTATACCTATGCAAGCTGTTTTTACCAATTCGAGTTTATATGGACTACAGTATCCCAAGTCCAAGAAATAACATCAAAAAAGATCATTACAGTGATACCTCGGTTCTCGAACGCCTCGGTTTTCGACCAAATGGAGATTCGAGAAACTTTTGTCTCGGAATCCGAACAAATATTTGGAACTCGAACTTCCGAGATGAGCCGAGTTGAGCCGAATGGCGTTCATTCGGCCCAGCGCGTCTTGCTTGCGTCATCAGTGTGAGTGCAGAGAGAGAGTCACGCTTTGTGGAGTCACGCTTTCCTATTGGGTTTCATTGCTTCGGTTCTCGAACAATTCGGTTCTCGACCGTCCTCCTGGAACGAATTATGTTCGAGAACCAAGGTATCACTGTACTTACCTCCCACCCTAGAAAAGGTACAACAGCTATCAAAAGCACAAACTGCACCCCCATCTACCTTGGTTGGTTCTCCACCGTGAGGTTCTCTCCTCTCTGATAGCTGCTGTCCGCCACCTGGGTTGTGGACCTCTTCACAATCTGCTGCAGCTCCTGCTCCAGGCGTTCTTGGATGGCCTTAACTGTCTCTGGGATCTTCTTCAGTTTGGCCAGCCCCTTGATGAGGATGCCCATGAAAAGGGTGCTGTTCTCCTCTGGATCCAGTTCCAAATCCTCCTTGATGTCCTGTAGGTTTATCTCCCTCACTGTAAACAAACAAACAAACAGATACAGATTCCATTACAAAATTCAAAACCAGAATGGGCCTAACAAATGGGATCTCTGCTTTGATTACTCCCTTAAAGAAATAAGAGAAGCCCGGCCAGTGTGGCTTCGTTGGTTGGGCATCGTCCCACGCACTGAAAGGTTGCCAGTTCACTTCCCAGTCAGGGCATATGCCTGAGTTTTGGGCTTGATCCCCAGCAGGGGGTGTGCAGGAGGCAGCCAATTGGTGTCTTGCTCTCACATAGATGCTTCTCTCTCTCTCTCCCTCACCCTTTCTCTCTCTCTAGAAATCCATTTACAAATCTTAAAATACATATTCAGAGATTTTTCAATTATATTTACATAATAACTATCTAAGAAACACAAAATAATAGTACAATCTCCAAACCGTACCCATGGGTTAGTAATGAGAGATAGAAACAATTAAAAATAAGGCAGCAAATCTCCATGGGAAGTGTCCACAGACTACCACTTCCAGAATGCGTCGGTCAGTTCATGCCATTTATTAAGCATTCACTGTTTATCAAATGCCATACTTGGCATGAGAATTCTAAGATTCAGACCGTAGTCTTAAATTCCTATTTATTAGTTAGAAGAGACAAGTAGCTTGATATAAAGACATTTATAAATACATGTAGAAGAGGTCAATAAGATAAAATTATAACCAATGACAAAAGAGATGAAGAAAATAAAGGAAAAACAATACATACAAGTGAGACAAAACGTTGGGGGAAACAGTAATTTGTATTTCACAAATACAAAAAACACTGTTTTTCTTTAAACATGTGTCTACCATAACACTAGTATCTACTAAAGACTAGTCTTGCTAATACATAGAAGTTTTCCGAGAACTACTGTGTATGTCACAAGTCCCTGTAGACCTTCAGGCTGCAGCGTTCATCCAAGCCGCCTGGTTTGGGAATGGAAGAAACAGTCTAGCACAGTGTCCTCAACCCGGTGAGAACTTGGGGAGAGGGTGGGACTGGAGTCTGAGACTTCCGTTACCTACTGAGATCCACAGGCCTTTCTGTCAAATGAATGCACACACACACAAAATTCCTCCCATGACTTCAGGGCCGGCACTACAGGCAAAAGCAGCACAGGCTGAAAACTTCTGGCCTAAAAACAATTCTCTCATTTCACAAGTGGCTGGGTTAAGGCAGACAACGCAAGAGTGAGTACAGGCTTAGATACGGACCCTATCAGTTAACGTTTTCCCCATCCTTCCCTCTCCTCCACTCCTCAAAAAAACTGGAACATTTTTTTCAAATTATTTTTATTAACTTGGTTTTGTTACAGATGTTTCTCCTTTTCCCCCCATTGACACTCTCCTCTCCATCCCCCACGCCCCATGCCCGGCTTTGTTGTCTATGTCCATTAGGGTACAGACTGACAAACCTCAGAAGAGGGGGTGCGGGGGTGGAGAAACCACAGAACTTACATGCATGTTTGCATAACCAATGGACATAGGCAACAACTGGAACATTTTTACAATATGTGATATTCTGAAAGAAAGTGTACGTTCTTCTTCAGCAGATTCGAGCTCCGCCGTACAACAAGGCCGGTCTGGGGTGCTCGGCGCCACTAGAACGCACTGACATCTGTTTCTTCAGTTCCCTGAACGAAAGTATCCCAGCACATGTAGCAGGTCCCTGGAACCACTGCTCACCTTTTCTAAAACCTCCACTCTAGACCACATGTAGGCTCTTCTCCTCAGTCCTGTTTTTGTTTCCAACTCACAAAATGCACTTAAATATGAACCAAAGCTATTTAATGCTATAATTACTTAAACAAGCTTAATCTCAAGAAAGTCCTCTGCATATTTATCTGTGATACTGTTGTCTTCCTTAGATTCACTAGGCCCCTGAAACCCATGAGGAGAGAAAAGAATCTAAATAACAACTAAATTCACATGGTTCTCCTCACAGCATAGATGGCATCTGATTATATGATACTTAAATTAAAATTGTAATACTAGTAAACTGGAAGTAGAACCAAGAAGCATTAAGTCTCTAAAGACCACATGCCAACTCTGAAGGCAAATCAAAAAAGTCATTGATATTTCCAAATGTGACATTTCAAGAATACACACTGTAGTTGCTGGTTTTGGTTTATACATACAGAACTAGACACCTCAGGCCACAGAATTACTCCATCCTGTAAAACCAACCCCAAAGGCAAGAAGAGAGAAGGACTTAGCAGCCAAGGGGCCATCTAAATTCAAGCTGTTAGAGGGGGAAAAGATAAGCAGAACTTCAGGCAGGAAAAAAAAAGTGATAGGCTCTGTTTGGTTTGGCTCGGTGGATAGAACGTCAGCCTGTGGTCCAGAGAGATCCGGGTTCGGTTCCCACTAAGGGCACGTACCTCGGTTGCAGTTTGTCCCCAGCCCTGGTTGGTCGTGTGGGTGACAACCACTCAATGTGTCCCTTTCACGTCGATGTTTCTCTCTCTCTCTCTCTCTCTCTCTCTCTCTCTCTCCCTCCCTCCCTCCCTCCCTCCTACTCTATCTGAACAAAATATTGAAAAATGTCCTCAGGTGAGGATTAAAAAAAAAAAGTTATAGAAATTTAGCTGGGACAAAATGATCTTCACAAAAGAGGGCATAAAGTCACAAAGAGGACCATGCAAAAGGCCACCTGAAAATCACAACCACCTGCTGCAAGAGTGACTGGTGATGAGATAAATGCAGTTTATATCAATAAGACCCCAGCCCTGGCCAGTTTGGCTCAGGGGTTAGAGTGTCAGCCCTTGGACCAGAGATTCCCGGGTTCGGTTCCCGCTAAGGGCACGTGCCTTGGTTGCAGTTTGCCTCCGGCCCCAGTTGGGGTTGTGTGAGTGGCAGCCACTTAATGTGTCTCTCACATCGATGTTTCTCTTTCTCTCTTCCTCCCGCTCTATCTGAAAATAAAAATGCAAAAAAGTGTCCTCGGGTGAGGAAAAAGAAAAAGAAAAAAAATAGCCCTGGCCGGTTTGGCTCAGCGGTTAGAGCGTCGGCCTGCGGTCCTGAGAGACCCGGGTTCGGTTCCCGCTAAGGGCACGTACTTCGGTTGCAGTTTGTCCCCGGCCCTGGTCGGTCGTGCGGGTGGCAACCACTCGATGTGTCCCTTTCATATCGATGTTTCTCTCTCTCTCTCTGTTCCTCTCTCTCCCTCCCACTCTACCTGAACAAAAAATGGAAAAATGTCCTCTGGTGAGGATTAAAAAAAGAAAAGGAAAAAAAATAAATCAATAAGCCCCCAGATAATGGGGCACAGAGCTCCTTATATGCCACACTAATATGACAGAGAACCTATTAAAAATAACAAATAAGCAAGGTATACATAATAAAAGGCCTCAGCCCTAAATGGCACATTTGTTTAGAACCATATTTATGTTTGTCTCCTGAAATCTCCTAGAGCATAAACACGGAACAGATCCAATATTAATTAATTCATATTACCTATTTCACTTACATCAGCTGAAAATTAAAAAGCAATTTAAGCCTTGGCTGGTTTGGCTCAGCAGTTAGAGCTTTGTCCCAGCGACCAAAGAGTCAAAGGTTCAATTTCGGTCAAGGGCACGTACCTCGGATGCGGTTCGGTCCCTGGCCCTGGTTATAGTCATGGGGGAGACAACCAATCGATGTGTCTCTCTCACGTCGATGTTTCTCTCTCTCTCTCTCTCTCTCTCTCCCTTCCTCCTTCCCACTTTATTTGAAAAGCAATGGAAAAGTATCCTCAGGTGAGAAATAAAATAATAATAATAAAATAAAAGGCAATTTAAAAGGATAATATAATTACCCATGAAGACTGGTCTACTAATCACAAAAGTCCTGTGAGGTCAGATGGAGTTATTGGTGCTTTATGGAAAAAGCCTTGTACAAAAATAATTTAAGGGAAATTTAGTAAGGCCTCACCCCACAATTAGAACAAAATGTACATATTTCCAAACTACTAAGCCCCAAACCATCCCCTTATATCGACATTGTTGTAATATGTACTCAATGTGTGGGTTTTAGAACACTCTAAAAATTAGAAATACTTAACTCCCTTTTCTCATTTCTTATCTTCGGTGTTTTTGCTCTGAGTATCTTAAGTGAGGATTTCTTGAACCTGGTTTTGAACACTTTCACTCATAGAACAGTGCTAAATATTAAAAGACCTTCATGTCCTTTAACCTATTATTTCTACTAAAATCCTATTGGCCCCAGTTGTTTATTAGACAGACAAACAGACATGCATATATACCTATACATCTATATCTAAGAGGGTGTAAATCATGTCAGTGGGTGACGTTAAGCATGAAATTCTGAAAGAGGTTTAACTAAGACACTTTGGGACTCAAGAAATATTTAACTAGATGATATCTACAGTCCATGATCCCAATAACTAGTTTAAATCTATACATCTCTGATTACTAGGCCTATAGCTGATTACATATAGCTACATTATAGACAGTACATTTAAAAAATGTACAGGAACTAGTGTGGGAGAGAGTGTGACTGGATGTGACGATGGACGACCAAACTCCTGCAATGCAGAGACGCGGAGCAGAAGGTTCCTGTGCTGTGGACAGAGCAGCGGCCACCACAGTAAGCAGCTTTTCAGGGTGCTTCACCCTGCGCCGCGGGGAGGCCCCACCATTTTGGAAGATCCCAGGTCTTCCCTGGGAGGAAGTGGGAGCAGCTAGGGCCCAGCAACCTGAGCCACCAGCGCACCGGGCACCATCAGACCAGTGGACACTCTGTGTCAACACAGACCGGTGCACAGTAGTGGAGCTCCCAAGATGCCAGTCTCGGAAGCCATGGACAGCTGGGAGCCCAGCACCAACCCCCACAGTAGCAGCCCGATCAGAGTCCAAATATACCCCCAGCAACAGAGGCTAGGGAGCAGACATCCATCCCCAGGCAACAGAAGCATAGACCAGCAGCTCAGACCCACCCCCAAAAACTACAGCAAAAGATCAGCAGGAGTTGAGCCCCACAGGGCGGCAGCACTCCCCA